AAAATTAATGCTGAAATGAAAATGAGGTGCAAACAATTTCAAATTGGTTGCGTTCATCTGCAGGAAATTGACTGGCTAATGTAATAGACTGTTGCCATCAAAAATCAAGGGGAGCAATATCTGGTGATCGGAAAGGTTCCGTTATAGGCTTTCACTCCTTAAATAGGGTAGGCAGACTGCTATATGGGCTATAAAGTTGACTGTTTGCGCTTAAAGGGGTTGCTTTCATCAATGGCTATTGATTGATTGATAATGGGTTTGGGACCCAACGGGCAAAACGCATTTCTTTAATTTTCCATTAGAGTCCGCTCTCTGAGGCCGTTAAAGTTTAGAATTAATATCCCGAATGCCAAGTTAATTGTTAAATACAAAAATTAAACGTCTTTGTTTGTGCAAGAAACTGGCCTGGTCCCATTTTGAGTAAAACTGTCAAGCGCGATGATAAAGTAACTAAAGCGGAATTGAGCCGATCGAAAAAAGCCAGAGATAAAGTAAAAGGGCAGATGGGAAGCGGAGCTTAAACACTGATACTTTATCTGTAAATTGTCGGCTTATGTAAGATATCTCTAGATCCATGTCGGATAGTAGGCTTTACATATTTGCCAGAGGCCATAAAGGGCCTATATGATGGATTTATGTAAAATAATTCAATCACTGGTAATATCTGTAAAATTAGGAGGGTTTATTTGGAAATTCACTTACCCTAATCGGCAGATTTCTCCGCTGTTGATGCAAAAAAGGGAACCCGGTGGCGCGAAACTCACACAAAAAAACCCAGGTTTGTTGAGTATGAGTGGTGAAATCCGGGTCGAAGGACCGTCTCTCTGCTCTCCGCGATATTCGAGTTGCAAGCGCGTTGTGCCAGAGCAAGAAGAGCCAAAACAGGCAGACTCTGGGACCGAATTCTGTTGCTCTGCACACGCGATCGATGACGAAGAGACTGAGAGAGCTCGTACGGCATAGAGTGCCAATTTTTCAGGCGTAGCCGAGGCCTAAAGATAAAGAATATGGGGCTTCGGTGGATTCCGATTTATTTATTTGGCTTTCCTTTGCCACATTTCGTGTGATGCCATCATACGAATATGGACGGTTTGTTAGCGGCACGAATATGAATTTATTCGCCCAAATGTTCAGACGTCGGAAATTAGCTTCAAGCTCAAAGCGAATATGGGCCCATAAACCACAATGGGTTTTTTCGCAAACCCTTACGGCACGCGAAAGTTTGCATTTGTGAAGAATCACGAATTACGAACCAAAATATGACTGGCACGAATTTTTGAATAATCTGAAGTCGATGTGCCGACAAAAATCCAGATCCAGAGTCCAAATAGCGGTTTTCAAAGCACAAAAAGTCGGTTTGATTCATTTTTGATATCATGAGAATGATAAATGCATGAGAAAAAATAAGGTTTTATGCGGTTTTCATAAAATTTTCGGAGTTTTGCGATTCAACTACCGTCTACAGACTGTAAAAAACTGAATACTCCACCTGCCCAAGATCAACCGCTACGAATTTCGAAAAATGAGTGAGTTATATGAAGATGATCGATTTTCGATCGAATTTAGTAAGAATTTAATAAAGTGTTCAGGGTTTTCGAGTTCAAGTGTCTTCGATGGAGTGGCAGAAAATTCAAAAGACTAATTGCGGTAGATGAGCCATAACTACTTGAGAAAAGACAGCTGGTTGCGTACAAATATTAATTTTTTTTACCGCGAAAATTTTCAAACGCCACAAGCTTTCAATCAAAAGCTATCAATTTATAAAAATCGCACAAAAATCTTCATTTATAGATAAGTTCTATATTGTTGAGGCGGATTCATTTTTTTACAAACTTCTTTTTGGGTTTTTTTCGCCTCAAAAATTTTCGCCTCATTTAGGCTCTTTTGATAACGATAGCAGAAAATAGCTATCGAAACGTCAAGGTAATTTTTCAAATAAATTTCTCTACTAATTGCAATTTTCTCTTACAGCTTGAGCCTAAGTGTGTCGCAGGATACCCTCTAGGTGATAGTTCTTGATTACTTTTTGATAAATAATTCG